CTCTCTCTCTCTCTCTCTCTCTCTCTCTCTCTCTCTCTCTCTCTCTCAGAGGACCTGTCCAGAAATGTGTCCTTCCACCTCCTCCATCAGTGTTGTCCTATTCTCTGAAGAGGAGCTCCTTCTGCACTATAACGAGTAGTAGAAGGTGAACCACCTCACTTGTTCACGAACACCTGAGGATCAGGACTCATTTCTGGGCATATCTTTAGAGTGCTAACACACACACACCATATACATAGCAAATACACACACACACCACCTCCCTCTTCATCGTAAATATGAAAATACGCCACCACCTTGGTTGGCCTCAACTCCCCCCACCCCAGCCCGACAGCGGCGACGCCAACCGAGAGTAGCCGACTTGAAAAATACTCAAACTGGTGTGGACTCGCCGCAGATACCCAGACCCCCGAACCGGGGTGGGACAGACTTACAAAGAAAACTAAAAACGCTGGTTAAATATAAATGAATAAATAAGAAAACAACAAGAAGACTGACGAGAGACCCTGTGACATGGTCCCTGTAAACCGAACCTACCGGGCTAAAAACGCTCTCATGATGACGAACACGGAGGCGGCTGATGCTGAGAACAGGACTGAGAGGTCCATCTCCACCGAGCGCTCCCAACGAGAGGCTCCGTTAGGGATCGCCTACATACACACACACACACACACACCCACACCCACACTGCACCGACCCCCTCCCCCACCCATCACTTGCTTCAGGACTTCGGCAGAGTGCTGCGTGCCGCATGTGGACTCGGGACTTTGAAGAAGCCAGAGAGAGAATCTGCAGAACTCGACTCAACGTTCCCTGTTTTTAAATCTTTACTTTTCTGTTTCTTCATGGGCGGAGTGGAGGGGTGGTGGTTACCTGGCTCTTGTTTTTGTTTGTTTTTAGTTTCTCCAGGTTTACAAGGCATGGTGCAGACGATTATTATTATTCTAATTATCATTATATTAATTATTGTTACTTGCATTCACAGTATATTTGTTGAGCGCCAGCAAGAGCAAGTTCCACTTATTATAATAAAGGTCCCGATCCCACCGATTACAGCGTGTGTACATGTTAACGTTTATATATGAATTTAACAAAATGGAGTTATATCAATAGAGTGAGATATTTAGTTATCAAATGAAAGGAAATAGTTGAAAAAAGAAAAAAAAAAAACACTCAATCCTTTTAATGCTTTGTACTGACGCCAGTGACTCGCTGGTTGTTCGTAGTCCGTACAAGTTTTTACGTCTCGTGTTTCGTTGACTCCAGGGTTCCTACGCAGGGAGGGGGGGATGAGGAGGAGGAGGAAGGGAGGCCGATGTAGCTGAGATCAAGATTATAAAAGTCCTGAAACACAAAAACATTTTACTACAGCCTAGCTAGTGGTAGTCAGTTATCAGGAAAGAATCCTCAAATGCTTCCGGACGAAGTCTGAAATTTCTGAAAAGGAAACCCTGCGTAGGAACCCTGTAGTGACCTCTGACCCTGCTTTTAATTGTCACCCCCAAACCCACCCCAGCTGCACAGCAGGTTTGATGCAAACGTTATTGATCTTTATTTTCGTATCGATGTCTATGCTAATCCCTCAATCCACAAAGAACTCAGGAGCTAAAATATCCCTTTGTTCCTCCTCCTCGGTTTTAGAATAGGACCCCCCCCCCGGACTCGATCAGTTTGTTTTTGGTTTAGCAGCACAGCTCAAGACTCAAACTCACGGTTCTTCTCACTGATATGTGTGAGGAAAAGATTAGATTCACATGCTTTTATTTTTCCAGAGGATAAAGTAATTTTGGACATATTTGTGGAAACAGTGTCGAAGCTTTAAGCCTCCGATTGGACGTCTTTTCAACTTGCGCTACCGACTGCAAGACATCATACCATTATAACGTTAAAGGTGCAATAGACGGGATTCAGAGCATTAACATAGCAGCAAACGGCTATCACCTATGTAAAGATATAGTAGTTATGTCTATCTGAGCAGAGAATGGAGTCACTCTCCCTCTGTGTGTTGTAATCTGAGCTGCTCCTTGCTTTGTTGACATAGCAGCGCGGGCTTTTAGTGCACGTTAGCACATGCTAGCTAGCTCAAAGCTGTCGTTCTGCACTGAGCTCGTACGGCGGTTTCAGCTGAAGCGAGGCGCCCACTCTCCGGTTCCCCCTCATGTAAACACCGTTGGTTCTGCCAGCACTAGTTCGCTGTGTTAGCGCCGTTAGCTGCAAGCCGCCGGCTCAGCCGTCACCATGTTGAGAGGCGATAGCTATGCTCCCAATCTGGTATGTAGCACCTTTTAAAGCCCCTAGATGTCGATACAAGTTTAGTTTTTTCTCCTTTTCACCCAGTCAGATTGGTGTTTATCAGTTATTAGCAATTTAAGATGTCCGTCCCCTGTTGACATCTTTAGAATTTGAGTTCCACTCAAAGTGGAAGTTAGCTAGCTCGCTAACGTCAGCACAGATTCCCGCTCAAATGATACCTTTTGTATTCGCACACTGTTCCTTCTGGATGATGCAAAGGATGTGAGGCTAGCATTAGCCGTTAGCGTCGGAACTCGTCACCACAGCGCTTCATATGTTAGTTAGAGTGACTAATGTACGAGGTTCTCGTTACATACGACGCGACTAAAGCCTCGGTTCAAGGAGCTGAAAGTGAAAGAACCACCTGTTGTTTGACTATAATTACCAGTACGGACATCAACCGTCGGTACCAAAGAGTCACTAATGTGGGGGGGTGCGCTATTGTTACAGAAAAATAAGTGAAACTTTTATTTCGAACACCAGGGAGACGTACACTGATATCTTTGCAACAAAAAAAACTATTTTAATTTCAGTTGGCTTTAATGTCGGGTAGCAGAAGTGAAATTCGTCGTAGTTTATATTTTTCAGTTGATTATTAAAGTTGACGTTGAGCTCAAGCGCTGGTTTACCTTCAGTTGCTCCCTGGTAGCATTTCCCTGTCTAGCTTATCATTTCAAATGTTTCTGCTGCTTTTAGAAGAAGCATTCATGTATGAAAATAACGACCCATCATCCCTCAGGAGGAGGTCCTCCTCTGTCCTCAATAGGGAAAATAAAACAAGAAAAACATTTCAGTATCTTCAACCGCACTGTTGACAACATAAAGAACCAAATACTTTAGGGAGACGACATCGCAGCCGTGTGTTTGAAGTGTTCGTGCAGAGAAACATGAAGGCATCATCTTTTCCTCTAGTTTAGTTTCTCCCCTCAGGAGGTCCAGAGTTGACATTTCACAGCGGTGGAACCGAGCTTTTCTGTACCTTTTTTGGTTTGTTTTCTCTTTATTTAATTTGTTTCCCGGATCACAAGCAGTCACGGCATCATTTAGAAAACAAACTTCTTAGACAAAGTGTCTGTTGTCTCTTTCCGAGTCTGGTCTGAAACCTATGCATGCCATAGTAAAGTGGTGGTAAGATCAAGTTGGATGTCTCTTCCTCTTTGTTTCTCCTTCTTTTAGTTCAGTGTAATAAGGAAAGATGTCAACCAGTACGTTGTCCACTGATGACTGTGTCCGTTTGGAGAAGAAGAAAAACAACAAAAAAGTGCAATTTGTGTGAGGGTGAAAAGATTTATATTAAAAAATGACAAAATGATGATGGTGCTTGTGTGGATGCTGCATGAAGCTGAAGTCCTGTTGTGAACACATGAAGCCTGAACGGGAAAAGTCCACCTTAAAACCACATTGACACCGTTTCTGGGCCTCTAAATATCTGACAGAGTAAAGCGACAACCAGCTAATATTTAAATGATTTAATTAAGTTTGTTTGTTTGGCTCAAGGTGGCATGAATGGCTCAGTGAAACTAGATGTTTGAGGACAATACTCATATTTAAGTGGCCAAAAAAACTCTCATTTGCACCAATCGGGACATTTTTAGAGTTTAAAAATAAGTATTCATGTTCTCTGGTGGACGAATTAACATGCCGGTGTTTTAATGATCTACATCAGTCAGGATCTACTTTTCTTTGTTCAACAGTCCAAAAACCAAAAACATTGAAATTTAAAATATAAGCGGTGGTTCTAAAGCTGGGGCTCTGGGCACCTCTGAGGGGTCACAACTTCTGGAGCACAAATCTGTTCTCGATTGTGAGAACAGTTTTGCCTCCTCCGCTTTAGTTCAAATGTTGAGTGGATTTTCTATTTAGTACTAAAATAATCATCCAGATGTGTGAAAACAAACTGCTGAAATTGATTTTCTTGCAACGTTACAAAATAGACAAAAGCAACTTAACCACGTCCCAAAGTGTCTTTAGACAAAACTTCAATGACTCAAGACGAAAGCAGCAAATCTCCACAACCAGTGTTTGACTTTTCTGCTAGAAAATAATCAAGTTAATTTGTGTTGATTGATTTATAGATTAATAAAGTAAATGAATGTTTGACTCAATAGCTTTTTCTGAGTGTTAAATATAGAAACGAACATATTCAGTTTTTATTAAACAGCATCTCATTCTTAAATCTCAAATAACTTGAGTTTAAGGTTGCAGATAGAAAAAAAAATCCAACCTTCGACACTGAACAGCTGCATCTTCACACGTTCTGCTCTTTAAAGAAAGCAGATGAGGAAACATCCGGATCATAAACCAAACACTTAAAGTATTTTTATTTAAACCGTTGAGGTTTGTTAGCGAGTCAGATCTGCTGTTTGTGTCTTGGTGATGAGCTGAAGGGTTCGGACTGCTGCTGCGTCCTCAGTCAGTCGATATAAGTTGTCCCGTTGCATCGTTCAGGTTTGGTGTTTCCGTTTATAAAGTCAGTGTGCAGAGCGAGTCTGCTGGACCGGAGTCTAGGTTTTTTGGAGACGACGGGCTCAGCAGAGAGGGAATCTGCTGCTCGTGGATCCACCGCTTCTTCAGCTTCTCTGCTTTGGCCTTTTCTGCACAGGCTGGACGGACAGAGGAGACGAGTGGTTAGAGGAGGAGACGAGAAATCACATTTGCGGTAAATATCTAATATTCATTGTTAAACCTCTGAAGCCAAAAACCCAGCAGTGGGATTAAAAAGCATGTTTTCTACAAACGATCGCCCCCCCCCCCCCCCACACTAGTTCATCACAGCCACACGCTGTAAAAAATGTCAGATTTTCATCTCTTTGAACACACCGTGTGACGAATGCTTCTGTCAGAAGAAGCCAAAATAAAGCTTAAAATTATATTTCATCAAAAACATTTTATTCTACATGTTCTCATAAATCTCCTCAAATAAAGCATTTACTTCAGAGTCCCTTCAGACTCTTTACAGCAGAGGTCAGTCTCTTTGTTGATACTGAACTCACCCCAGTCCTTCTTCACAAACTGCACGGCTGCACTCTTGTTCCTCCCCGTCTTGTTTTGGAGGGACAGCAGCTCGTTACCTGAAAGCAGGAGGACACGGAAGTGTAAACAAGCTCAGCCGGAGAAACGCGGTTAAAGTCGGACTGAAAGCGGTCGATGTCGCCGTCTGGTTCAGCAGGAGTCTCACGAGAGGAGACGCCTCGGTGGAACGAGACGGAGCGTCACTGTAGCAAAACTCAAATTGAGACAGATCATCGTCTTCACAGACTTCTGCCACAGAGTGTAGCTTGCAAGAGTTAAAAAAAACAACTTCACAATAAATAATGACTCCAAATCACAGCTTCAACTGGCATTAACTGGTGGATTAAGTCCTTTTTTTTAAGCTACATTTGTGAGTTTATTTAAAAGCATAAGAAAAATATTTGTCACGCGCAATCGTCAGTTTTCATTATTCAAACTGCAGGAATTTATGTCAGAGAGAAACATGTGACGGGAGCGAGAGAAGAGAAACTCTGAATGTACTCGAGGTTCAGAGGGTCGATAACGTCAGCCGTCTTACTCGTGGTCCTGCAGGTTCCCGGTCCGTAGAGTCTGGACCGGAGGAAATCCTCGGCCGCCTGCTGCTGAGAGGACGCCGACACTCGCTCCTTCACCGTCGTCACCGTGCAGTTTCCACTCACTCTGAAATAAAACAACAAGCACGAGTCCAAGTTTAGACAAACGGTCACGCTTCAGTTATGACCCGGTTGAACCGCTTTGATGATCGGTTAGACGTGAGTTCTAACAAAAATAATGGAATAAGTGCGTTTACATACTCCCGGCCATGTCCTGGTTTCTCACTCCGCCTCTTCCTCTTATTCCTTCCCTCCTCCTCCTCGTCAGCTGCTGAGGAGAAAACAAGTCGTACGGACCTGAAGCTCGTTCTCTACTCAGCACGAGTTTCCTCTAAATGTTCAAACGTGTGAGAGCGGAAATGAGCTTCTTTACCTTCACCCTCAGACTGTTGCTGCTTCCTGTAAAAACACACAAAACAGGCTTACGTGAGTTTTCATGAAGCAGAGATGGTGGCGAAAATGTTTAAATTAGGATTAAGTCACATCCAGACATCTTACTTTGAAAGGGCAGAGTCGATTTCCTCCAACACCTCAGCCGGTAACAGTTTTCTTTTCTGTGGAGTGAAGGAACTTTATTCATCTATGAATCACAGATCATACGTTCGACTGCTGCTACCAATGCTTCTAAAAACAGACTAGGTGTGGCAGTTAAAGTTAAGATACTGTTTACACATTTAAACAGAAATAGCCTGTTTATTGTACGTCTATGGGATACCTTCTGTTCCTGGAACAGCTGCTGTCTCTTCCTCCTCTTCTCCTTCAGCAGCTCTTTCTCCCTGAAAACACGGAAATACAAACATCACGATGCTAGATCATATTTGCTGCCATCTATGGTTTAGTGTTTGTTCTTTGTGGACAAAGAGTAACACCAAACTCCATTTAACAATTTGTCAAAATAAGCGTATCTTGATTTCACGCATGCGCATAAACGTTAAAATTTGGCAAGATTATAAATTCCGATTTGTTGGGAGACAGTAGTCATATCGGCGCTGAAACAGTTCAAAACAACGTTTTAATACAAAACTCCATCGGCTTTACTTAAGTTCCTGAAGACCGCATTATTGAAACGTGTTGAACCATTCTCACACGTGTTGTATAATATATTGAGCCGCTTCGTGCTAAATGTTCACACCGATGTGAAAAGTGCAGCCAAATAAATCAGAATATGGGATGAAGTTTCCGCTTTAGTGTTATTAGTCCGCCCGCAAGCACGAAAACGTCAAAAAAGCAGATATTTTTGGGGGTTTTTTTAGTTTGTTTTATCGGCCTCCGTACACACACTAGGAGCTAGCGAGCTAACGTTAGCTACCTCCGGGCTGTGTCCAGCGCCTGCTTCATGCTCCGTAGAGCCTCAGTCTTCGAGTCCTCGAAGGTCATCTCTTCGGGCGCCTCATCGTCGCTGGACTCAAGCATTAAACTGAAACTATCCGTCTGTTTCTCAGTCTTTGAAGACGAAGCCGTTCTCCCACGTTGTTTCCTCGCCATGTTGGCTGGAGAGGGGAGACGTCATCACGCAGCGCGCTTAACGAATGCGACAAGAACCCGCCCCTGTGCGTAGAACCTTCGAGCGCTCGGATTGGTCAGGCGTGTCTAATGCTGGCGCGAGGCATCCCATAACTGTGGAAGCCCATTTCTGCCAGCAAAACATTTTTTTAATTTTAATTAAAAATAAATTTAAAAAACACAAAAAAAGTTATTATTATTATAATTTTTGTATTTACAAATAATACAATTGTTGGTTTACATGACTTAAAGTTCAGGGAAAATGTTTTTGGTTCATTTACATTTTAAAATACGGTTCGTTAACGCTTTTATTTTGAAAACCACAACCGGAAACCCAATCTAAATTGTCGGCAGCAGGTGCAGTTTATCTGCAACAACAACAACAACAACAACGGGATCAGCTAACGGGCCTCAAACGGGTTTTTACCAGAGAAGCAATGCACCGATTGTTGCTCGTGTTTGTGGCCGCTGCCGGTGCCTCGGTCCTCGGCCTCCCCGGGATGGATGCGTCCCCGGCGGCAGCCGCGCCCTGCCTCGCCCCGCTGCAGTGGGAGGGCAAATGGGTGATGTACGACCACAGCACCGGGAGGAACAGACGGGCCACCGTCTCCTACGACGGCCCGAAACAGAGGATCCGAGTCCTGCAGCAGAACAAGAAACACGCACCCTGTCAGAAGTAAGTATGTAT